CGCAGTCAGACGAGTACACACAGACAGCAAGGTGATATCGTAAGCCTCCTTTTTATTTTTTCAAAAGTACGCTAAAAAATAAGGGAATACTTTATTCATATTCATGACTAATTCTGTGAACTCAGAGGGGCATATGAACGACCCCAGGCTCCTCCTTGAGGGTTCTAGAAGTTGGAAGTGAGAGTGTGGGTTAGATTTATCTGGCTTAGGAGAGGGGTCAAATGGTGGGGTTTTGTGAACACTGTAATGAACTGTTGGATTACATGTAATACGGGGAATTTGATGAATAGCTTAGCGACTGTTAACTGCGTAAGAAGTAGTCTACTACATGTAGCCAGTTCTTTTTGGTTAGTCGAGATACTACTAATTGAAATTTATATTTTTGTCATATTCCGTCATACGAATTGGGCCCCAAACGCGAGCAGTGATGTACAACAAGAGATACATCCCACTAAGTTTCCCTACTTGTCCAAAATATGCTAACCTTAGATTACAGTATTGTGGAATTTAACGCTGTGCAGTCTGGTAGATATTAACCGACGTTTCAGAGAAACCTGATGGGTCCATATTCTGGAACGTCTAATTTTACATGGCTGTCATTGGATCGCGGAGCCAGACTAGCTCAGGCGGCATAGGGAAAGCCTACTACAGGCTGGACGGCCGAGAAATCAAGGTTTGATAACCGGAAGGAACAAACGATTTTTGTGCACTCCACAGCGTCCAAACCAACTTTGGGTCTCGCAAGCTGTTAATCTAATAGGGACTGGGATGCGTTTTTCCTGAGGTAAAGCAGCCGGGTCGTTTCTCTGACCACTTACCACCATCTAGTGCTAAGGTTATGAATGCCTAGAGCTGTACCTCCACTCCTCCATACGTCTCCATGGCCTGGTGCTTAATTCATTAAGCACAGGGATAAATTTACTTCTTCCGTACCCACTGGATCCGTCTTGGGTGTCGTCTCTTACATCGTGACAATTCTTTTGCACTGCTTACTTTTCTGCTCTGAAGATGGAGGCAGCAGACCTCTCCGAAATGTTAATACATATCCACCAACCCACACCGCGTCACATCCCAGAAGAAGGAAGTGCCCGCCCAAGTTTGAGGACCTCGCGTTTCAGAAAGGGTACCAAGTTACCAGAGGCAAGTAGCTTGTATACCTCTCATGCCAAGCTCACGGGGTCACTTAAGGTGGTACGCATGACTCAGAGACAGAACACCTGAAAATACGGTATCATCCAGGCGGAATTATCATACCTAATTTCTCGACTCGATAAGCAACATCTGTGTTAACACATCCACACAGTGAAGGAGTCTTCATGAAGCTTTAATGAACTCCATGAAATTGAGTCCTTCCTGAGAAGCTAATAGTTGCTGAACTATTCAACATGTTCCCATAAGGTTCACTGTCGTGTTCGCAAGAGCCCTCCACTGGTTCATATCCTGCGCCGGATGAATCCGATTGAGGCACATGCTACAAGCCGGAAGGTCGCGGGTTCGATTCCCGATGAGATGCATTCTTTTTTCAGTTTACTTAGTTCTTCCAGCCTCACTATGGCCCTGGGCTCGACTCAGCATGTAACAGAAATGAGTACCAGGAATCTTCCTGGGGGTAAAGAGCGGCCGGCGCGTAAGGCTGACTACCTTACCTCCATCTGTGAGCTAACTGTCTAGAAAATATGGGAACCTCGACGTCTCACAACCCTATGGGCCTCCACGGCCTGTTACAGGGATAGTTTTGCTTTACCTTACCTCTGCTCCTACTACGTTGTATGAACTTCTGCCTCATGTGTGTTATATGCTCTGCCAATCTCATCCTCCTTGGCTTGCTCATTCTGGTAATATCTACAGATTACAGTACAAATTATGAATGTCATTCTGCAG